AACCCATCCACCACCACTCTCTGCGTACTACCCTCTAGCCAATTTGCCACCCACTGGACTGTGTAATCATCCAAGTCACAGCCTTTTAATTTGTTCACCAGTATGGGGTGGGATACCGTATTGAAGGCCTTCCTGAAGTCTAAGTAAACGATGTCTACCCCTACTCCTGTGTCCAGGTGTTTTGTAACCTGGTATCTGACTTAACTGACTTAGGTCAAACCAGCATATGAAACTTCTGTCCCAGACCCCTCCCTGGTTCAAGTTACATCACAGTCCCCCAGCATCCCAGCATGCTTTGCAGGACTGGGCTGGGTTGTGCTAGAGCAGAGCAGGGTTGGCCCTGCCCCTCTGTTCTCTAACTGGAGCAGTGACCACTGGCTGACAAGGGGGTGGGTGTGCTGGGGTCACAGCCTTGTTTGCCTTGAGGGGGCGGAGCAGCCCCTGCCAGACTTTTCCCCACTGAAGTGCAGGGGGCAGGGGCATGGGACAGAGGAGAATTAAACCCCCCTGCTTCTCCTCTCTCACGGCAGAGTCTGCCTGGCTTCTCACTCCTGCTTGGGGCTCAGCACAGCCCAGGACCCCCAGAACCCCCCTCCCAGCCAGCGGGCAATCCCACTTCCCCTTCCCAGCCACCAGGGCCTGGGTCTCACTTGGGGCAGCCCAGAGCAAAGGCCAGATCAGGGGGGAAGGAAGGGAATGAAACAACCCCAAGCCCAGGTGGGGACATACACAGAGGGAGCACGGCAGTGACAGCTCCATCCTGGACATGAGCAGCACCGAGCAGAGGGACCCAGGCTGGCAGCAGGGGAGGGGAGCGGGGCAGGGAAGGGGCTCAAGTGCATCTGTGCTAGCCTGGGGCAGAGCCGACCTGAGCATGCAGCTAGGGGAGCAGCCTCTGCGCAGCAGCCCCTTCTACCCACTGAAGAAAGGTGCCAGGGTTAGGCCCAGCCCCCACAGCAGTGTGCATGATACAAGCTCACCCCATCAGCCCCAGGTGCTATTACTTTTGTCCCCCAAGTGCCGAGCTGGGCATGCACTGCTAACTTCCCCTACCCAGCAGCAGCAGCACAGCATGGCTCACATACTAGGTGCCAGGTGCAGGGGCAGTAACCCAACAGCTTCCCTACCACCGCCGCCATCCAGGGGCCTGCCCTGGCCATACTGATAGGTACTGCCTGGCGCTTGGTACAGAGGGCTGCGCTGCACTGTTGCTGCCGGGAAAGGGAAGTGAGCAGTGCATGCCCAGCTCAGCACCCTGGGGGATGCAGGTAATAGTGCTCAGGGCTGAGGAGGCAAGCCTGTACCATGTGCACCACTGCAGGAGCTAGGCCTGGCCCGGCCAGTGCTCTCCAGAGGGCAGAAGGGGCTGCCAGGCAGGAGCTGCTCCTCCAGATGCATGTTCGACTCAGCTCTACTCTGCCCTGGGCTAGCATGGACACACTTGAGCCCCTTCCCCCCCGCCAACCCCTCAGCCTGGATCCCTCTGCTTGGCAGGGCTCATGTCCAGGATGGAGCCCCTGCCACCACAATCCCTCTGTGCGTGTCCCCACCTGGACTTGGGGCTGTTTCGTTCCCCTGCCTCCCCCCAATCTGGCCTTTGCTCCTGGGCTGCCGCAAGCAAGACCTGGGCCCCAGTAGCTGAGAAGGTGTAGTGGGATCGCGCTCTGGCTGGGAGGGGGGCTCTGGGGGTCCTGGGCTGTGCTGAGTCCCAAGTAGGGGGGAAAAGCCAGGAAGACCCCGGCTGGGATCCCTGCAGGCCAGGGTGGGGTTTTAAACCCTTCCCCAGTCAGCCTGCTGGACCCTGGTCACACCCCCCTCAGCTCAGCTTCCCTCCAGCCTGAAGGCAAGGCAGAGCTCGCTCTAACACTTCCTGGCTTCTAGCTTAAGCCACTGCAGACATGTGGCTGCATTTTTGGAATCAAAAGTGAAAGTCTGTTCATTTGCAAATCAGTTCAATCTACACAAGTTATACTAACCTGCAAAGACTGAATCAATTCAGGCTTGGGCTTTTTGAATGTCTGTACTTAGCCATAAAGTTCCTTCCAGCCCTACATTCCTAAGATCCTATAAATCCATTCAGGGTTGATAGAGAATCAGTTCAGCTAGCATGTATTCCTGTGTGATCCTGCAGAGGTAAGAATTATATCATAACTTCTGATGTTTGCTCCTAAAACAGTTTAAAGGATATGTTTGTCCACAGCTTTAGGTCCATAGCCTTAACCACTCAGAACCAATACAATGGTACAGCTGGTTGCTGGAGAGAAGAACAAGGAGCTCCAGGGGGCCCCAACAATGCAATATCACCTTCACGCTTACTATTTTGAGAACAAAACGTGTAATATGCCATAAATTCAAGCACCCCCACAAGAAATGTAATACAAAATAAATACAAAATACAAATTATCAAGGCTCACATTTGCGAGAGCCCGGCAGGACAAATTATGCTGAGGGGAAACCAGCACGGGTTCGTAGCAGGTAGATCATGCCTGACTAATCTAGTCTCTTTTTATGACCAGGTTACGAAACGCCCCGACACAGGAGGAGGGATGGATGTCGTGTACTTAGACTTCAGGAAGGCCTTCGATACAGTATCCCACCCCATACTGGTGAACAAGTTAAGAGGCTGTGACTTGGATGACTACACAGTCCGGTGGGTGGCGAATTGGCTAGAGGGTTGCACCCAGAGAGTCGTGGTGGATGGGTCGGTATCGACCTGGAAGGGTGTGGGCAGTGGGGTCCCGCAGGGCTCAGTCCTTGGACCGATACTCTTCAATGTCTTCATCAGTGACTTGGACGAGGGAGTGAAGTGTACTCTGTCCAAGTTTGTGGATGACACAAAACTGTGGGGAGAAGTGGACAC